CAGGGACCAGTACTGTACACTGTGGGTGGTCTGGGTGACCCAGGAACCTGCCCAGGGACCAATGCTGTACACTGTGGGTGAGTCTAGGTGACCAAGGAACCTGTCCAGGGACCAGTGCTGTACACTGTAGGTGAGTCTAGGTGACCCAGGAACCTGTCCAGGGACCAATTACTGTACACTGTAGGTGAGTCTAGGTGACCCAGGAACCTGTCCAGGGACCAATTACTGTACACTGTAGGTGAGTCTAGGTGACCCAGGAACCTGTCCAGGGACCAATTACTGTACACTGTAGGTGAGTCTAGGTGACCCAGGAACCTGTCCAGGGACCAATTACTGTACACTGTAGGTGAGTCTAGGTGACCCAGGAACCTGTCCAGGGACCAATTACTGTACACTGTAGGTGAGTCTAGGTGACCAGGAACCTGTCCGGACCACTGTACACTGTGGGTGGGTCTAGGTGACCCAGGAACCTGCCGGGGACCAATTGTTGTACACTGTGGGTGGTCTGGGTGACCCAGGAACCTGCCCAGGGACCAGTGCTGTACACTGTGGGTAGTCTAGGTGACAGGAACCATAATCCCAGGGACCAGTGCATACACTGTGGGTGGTCTGGGTGAGCCAAGACCTGTCAAGGACAGTGCTGCTGCTGTGGGTGAGGTCCTGGTGACAGGGAACCTGCCCAGGGGCCAGTGCTGTACACTGTGGGTGAGTCCTGGGTGACCCAGGGGCTATAGGGACTAATTACTGTACACTGTGGGTAGGTCTGGGCTGACCCAGAACCTGCCCAGGGACCAATTATTGTTACTGCTGTGGGTGAGTCTGGGTGACAGGAACCTGCCCAGGGACCAATTACTGTGCACTGTGGGTGGTCTAGGTGACCAGGAACCTGTCTGAGGACCAGTGCTGTACACTGTGGGTGAGTCTAGGTGACCCAGGAACCTGCCCAGGGGACCAGTGCTGTACACTGTGGGTGGTCTAGATGCCAGGAACCTCTTGGGGACCAGTGCTGCACTGTAGGTGAGTCTAGGTGACCAGGAACCAACCCAGGGACCAGTGCCACACTGTGGGTGAGTCTGGGTGACAGGAACCAGCCAGGGGACCAGTGCACAGCACACTATGGGTGGTCTAGGTGACAGGAACCTGTCCAGGGACCAATTACTGTACACCTTGGTGAGTCTAGGTGACAGTTACCTGTCCAGGGACAATTACTGTACACTGTAGGTGAGTCTAGGTGACCCAGGAACCTGTCCAGGGACCAATTACTGTACACTGTAGGTGAGTCTAGGTGACCCAGGAACCTGTCCAGGGACCAATTACTGTACACTGTAGGTGAGTCTAGGTGACCCAGGAACCTGTCCAGGGACCAATTACTGTACACTGTAGGTGAGTCTAGGTGACCCAGGAACCTGTCCAGGGACCAATTACTGTACACTGTAGGTGAGTCTAGGTGACCCAGTTACCTGTCCAGGGACCAATTACTGTACACTGTAGGTGAGTCTAGGTGACCCAGGAACCTGTCCAGGGTTTATCTGGTGGTGAAGGTTTGTTTGTACTTAATTAGTTATTAAGTTTATCTGGTGGTGAAGGTTTGTTTGTACTTAATTAGTTATTAAGTTTATCTGGTGGTGAAGGTTTGTTTGTACTTAATTAGTTATTAAGTTTATCTGGTGGTGAAGGTTTGTTTGTACTTAATTAGTTATTAAGTTTATCTGGTGGTGAAGGTTTGTTTGTACTTAATTAGTTATTAAGTTTATCTGGTGGTGAAGGTTTGTTTGTACTTAATTAGTTATTAAGTTTATCTGGTGGTGAAGGTTTGTTTGTACTTAATTAGTTATTAAGTTTACCTGGTGGTGAAGGTTTGTTTGTACTTAATTAGTTATTAAGCTTACCTGGTGGTGAAGGTTTGTTTGTACCGCCTCACAGTGCTGGTATCGGTCGCACAGGAACCATCTTACTGGTGCTCCACTTGCTAGACCAGTTGAACACCTCTGGCTTCCTGGACCCTCATCAGGCTCTTGTGGACCTGAGGAATGGACGCCCAAGGCTGGTGGAGAACTCAGTAAGTCTCCTCCACCTATTTCAGTACTGCTACCTAACACGATAATTTATTTATGTTTTAACCTAACCTAACCCTAACCTTACGTAACCTAACCTAATCTAACCTAACCTTACGTAACCTAACCTATTCTAACCTAACCTTACGTAACCTAACCTAACCTAACCTTACGTAACCTAACCTAACCTAACCTTACGTAACCTAACCTATCCTAACCTAACCTTACGTAACCTAGCCTAACCTAACCATACGTAACCTAACCTAACCTAACCTAACCTAACCTAACCTAACCTAACCTATCCTAATCTAACCTTACATAACCTAACCTTACGTAACCTAACCGAACCTAACCTTACGTAACCTAACCTAACCTAACCTAACCTAACCTAACCTAACCTAACCTAACCTAACCTAACGTATCACATGGCCACATAGGTGCAAGTGGCTGATTCAATAACACCAAATATCTTGAAATTTATCCTCCTTGTCATGATGTCAGTCTTAGGATAACCTTGTGTTTGATGGGTAACTCAACTCTCGAGGCCTTGGTACCGTGATAAGAGATGAGTTATAGCAAGATAGAAAATAAGGAATATATATTTAATATTATAGCTATATTACACAATTATGGCACAGTATTGTTACATTACTAATAATAACACATTCGTTGCATTATTTCACTTTTATTATTATTATCACTTTATTATGTTTTGACAACACTTCAGTATTGGTATGTTACAGATACAGTACGTGTTTGGTCACAAGCTGTTGTTGGAGGTCCTCTCAGACATCAAGACGAGCTTTACTTGCAGTGCCTTCCTGAGTGAAGTGGAGGGTCTTCGTGTACCCCAGCCTCCCTCCAACACTTCCCTCATACACCAACAGTACCAGGTGAGTGAGACAGTCCCCAGCCTCCCTCCAACACCACCACCACCACCCTCATACTCCACCACCACCACCCTCATACTCCACCACCAACCTCATTCTCCACCACCACCACCCTCATACTCCACCACCAACCTCATACTCCACCACCACCCTTATACTCCACCACCACCACCACCCCTACTCCACCACCACCCCTTATACTCCACCACCACCACCTCATACCTCCACACTAATTCTTTATACTCCACCACCACCACCACCCTCATACTCCACCACCAACTTTCATACTCCACCACCAACCCCATACTCCACCACTCACCCTTATACTCCACCACCACCACCACCCTCATACTCCACCACCAACCCTTACACTCCACCACCAGCAACCCCATACTCCACCACCACTAACCTCATACTTCACCACCAACCTCATACTCCACCACCACCAACCCCACTCCACCTCACCAACTCTTACACTCCACCACCACCACCCCCATATTCCACCTCAACTCACCCTTATACTCCACCACCACCAACCTCATACTCCACCACCACCAACCCTATACTCCACCACCACCACCCCATACTCCACCTCACCAACTTATACTCCACCACCACCACCTCATACTCCACCACTCACTCACCCTTGCTACCCACCACTCACCCTTATACTCCACCACCACCAACCTCATACTCCACCACCACCTCAACCTCATACTCCACCACCACCAACCTCATACTCCACCACCACCTCAACCTCATACTCCACCACCAACTCCCATACCTCCCACCACCACCACCCCTCATACTCCACCACCACCCTTTATACTCCACCACCACCTCAACCTTTATACTCCACCACCACCAACCTTCATCCTTCTCACCACCAACCCTACATACTCCACCACCACCACCCTCATACTCCACCACCAACCTCATACTCCACCACCACCACCCTCATACTCCACCACCACCCTTATACTCCACCACCACCACCCTCATACTCCACCACCACCCTTATACTCCACCACCACCACCCTCATACTCCACCACCACCCTTATACTCCACCACCACCACCCTCATACTCCACCACCAACCTCATACTCCAACGCTACACTACGTCTTGAATGGTGAGGAAATAGAACCTTATAGGGACAGATCCAAGCACGGCACTTTATCTCTGGTGACAAGATAGCTAATATACTAAGGCTGTATCCACACTTCTCATCTTGTACTGTAAATACTCTGTAACACTCAACGCCACGATAACCTGATCACTGGGGTCTGATAAACACCCTTTGTGGCCTCTACTCTGTAAACTAATTTGCGATACCGCTCACAAGTATAGGGTGCACAATAAAGTAGCTGCTATAAGCGTCACTCATAGTCAGTTGAGCTTCCGTTCAGTTTTATATAATGATTGAAACAAATTTATTTATTTATTTATTTATTTATTTATTTATTTATTTATCTATTTTGTTTGTTTCTTTATTTTATTTATGTTTGCAGAAAATTAAGAGCTTCCCAAAGAACCTTAAATTCAACTTCGGCCTCAACCCAGAGTGTGCTCATCTCAACAGAACCCGTAACATCTTACCTGGTGAGTGAGGAGTCCTAACACTGTATCTCTCTGTCCTAACACTATATCTCTCTGTCCTAACACTGTATCTCTCTGTCCTAACACTGTATCTCTCTGTCCTAACACTGTATCTCTCTGTCCTAACACTGTATCTCTCTGTCCTAACACTGTATCTCTCTGTCCTAACACTGTATCTCTCTGTCCTAACACTGTATCTCTCCTTCTATATCTCTCTGTCCTAACACTGTATCTCTGTCTAACACTGTATCTCTCTCCTAGCACTGTATATCTCCTGTCCTAACACTTATCTCTCTGTCCCTAACACTGTATCTCTCTGTCCTAACACTATATCTCTCTGTCCCTGCTCTGTATCTCTCTGTCCCTAACACTATATCTCTCTGTCCCTAACACTGTCTCTCTGTCCTAACACTATATCTCTCTGTCCCTAACCTGTATCTCTCTGTCCCTAACACTGTATCTCTCTGTCCCTGCTGTATCTCTCTGTCTAACACTGTATCTCTCTGTCTAACACTGTATCTCTCTGTCCCTAACACTGTATCTCTCTGTCCCTAAGACTGTATCTCTCTCCCTAAGACTGTATCTCTCTCTCCTAACACTGTATCTCTCTGTCTCCTATCCTGTATCTCTCTGTCCTATCCTGTATCTCTCTGTCCCTACTGTATCTCTCTCCCCAACACTGTATCTCTCTAACACTGTATCTCTCTCCTAACACTGTATCTCTCTCTCTCCCCTGTCTCTCTCTCTAACACTGTATCTCTCTCTCCTACTTACTGTATCTCTCTCCTAACACTGTATCTCTATCCTAACACTGTATCTCCTGTCCCTACTGTATCTCTCTGTCCCTAACACTGTATCTCCCTGTCCCTAAAGCTGCATCTCTCTGTCCCTAACACTCTCTCTCTCTCCTAACACTGTATCTCCCTGTCCCTGCTGCCTGTATCTCTCTGTCCCTACTGTATCTCTCTGTCCCTGCACTGATCTCTCTGTCCCTACTGCTGTATCTCTCTGTCTCACTGCATCTCTGTCTCTTACTGTATCTCTCTGTCCCTGCTTAACACTGTATCTCTCTATCCCTAACACTGTATCTCTCTGTCTGTATCTCTCTTTCCCCAACACTGTCTCTTTTCCCCTTACTGTATCTCTCTATCCTAACACTGTATCTCTCTGTCCCTAACACTGTATCTCTCTCTCCCTAACACTGTATCTCTCTGTCCCCTTACTGTATCTCTCTTCCCTAACACTGTATCTCTCTCTCCCTAACACTGTATCTCTCTTTCCTAACACTGTATCTCTTTTCCCTAACACTGTATCTCTCTATCTAACACTGTATCTCTCTGTCCCTGCTTGTATCTCTCTGTCTAACACTGTATCTCTCTCTCCTCACACTGTATCTCTCTGTCCCTGCTACTGTGTCTCTCTCTGTCCTAACACTCTTATCTCTCTCTCCTAACACTGCTGTCTCTCTGTCCCCCTTACTGTATCTCTCTGTCCCTAACACTGTATCTCTCTGTCCTGTATCTCTCTCTTTCCTAACCTGTATCTCTCTATCCCTAACACTGTATCTCTCTGTCCCTAACACTGTATCTCTCTCTCCCTAACACTGTATCTCTCTGTCCTAACACTGTATCTCTCTGTCCCTGCTACTGTCTCTCTGTCCTTGCTGTATCTCTCTATCCCTACTGCATCTCTTTCCCTAACACTGTATCTCTCTTTCCTGCTGTATCTCTTTCCCTAACACTGTATCTCTCTATCTAACACTGTATCTCTCTATCCCTAACACTGTATCTCTCTATCCTAACACTGTATCTCTCCTCCTAACACTGTATCTCTCCCCTAACACTGTCTCTCTTTCCTAACACTGTCTCTCTATCCTGTACTGTATCTCTCTGTCCCTAACACTGTATCCTCTCTCCCTACTGTATCTCTCTGTCCCTGCTGTATCTCTCTGTCCCTGCTGTATCTCTCTGTCCCTGCACTGTATCTCTCTATCCTAACACTGTATCTCTCTCTCTATCCCTAACACTGTATCTCTCTTTCTAACACTGTATCTCTTTCCCTACACTGTATCTCTCTTTCCCTGCACTGTATCTCTCTATCCTAACATATCATCTCTTCCCTACACTGTATCTCTCTCTCTAACACTGTATCTCTCTGTCTGCACTGTATCTCTCTGTCCCTAACACTGTATCTCTCTGTCCCTGCTTACTGTATCTCTCTTTCCTAACACTGTATCTCTCTATCCTAACACTGTATCTCTCTGTCCTAACACTGTATCTCTCTCTCCTAACACTGTATCTCTCTGTCCTAACACTGTATCTCTCTGTCCTAACACTGTATCTCTCTGTCCTAACACTGTATCTCTCTCCTAACACTGTATCTCTCTATCCTAACACTGTATCTCTCTATCCTAACACTGTATCTCTCTTTCCTAACACTGTATCTCTCTTTCCTAACACTGTATCTCTCTTTCCTAACACTGTATCTCTCTTTCCTAGCTTTGTATCTCTCTATCCTAACCTGTATCTCTCTATCCCTGCTTCCTGTATCTCTCTATCCTAACAATGTATCTCTCTGTCTAACACTTATCTCTCTCTCCCTAACACTGTATCTCTCTATCCCTATGCTTATCTCTCTGTCCCTAACACTTGTCTCTCTTTCCTAACACTGTATCTCTCTGTCCCTAACACTGTATCTCTCTGTCCCTAACACTGTATCTCTCTCTCCCTAACACTGTATCTCTCTATCCCTAACACTGTATCTCTCTGTCTGCTACTGTATCTCTCTTTCCTAACACTGTCTCTCTGTCCTAACACTGTATCTCTCTGTCCTGCTTGCTGCTATCTCTCTATCCTGCACTGTATCTCTCTATAACACTGTATCTCTCTATCTCTTGCTGCATCTCTATTCTGCTTACTGTATCTCTGTCCCTAACACTGTATCTCTCTATACACTGCTTCTCTATCCCTAACACTGTATCTCTCTGTCCTGCTACTGTATCTCTCTTCCCTACTACTGTATCTCTCTTTCCCTGCTGTATCTCTCTATCTTACTGTATCTCTCCTACACTACTCTTGTCTCTCTCCTAACATGCATCTCTGTCCTAACACATCTCTCTGTCCTGCTTACTGTATCTCTCTATCCTAACACTGTATCTCTCTTTCCCTAACACTGTATCTCTCTTTCCCTAACTGCTTCCCCTTGTCTCTCTGTCTAACACTGTATCTCTCTGTTCCCAACACTGTATCTCTTATCCCTCTGTCTCTATCTCTAACACTGTATCTCTCTCTCCCTAACACTGTATCTCCCTGCTGGCACTTGTATCTCTCTGTCCTGGCACTGCTGTCTCTCTGTCCTAACAGTGTCTCTTATTCCTAGCACTGTATCTCTCTGTTCCTCAGACTGTCTCTTTCTGGCACTGTGTCTCCCTGCCCTGGCACTTGTCTTACCCAACACCTATCTCTCTGTCCTGTGCTTATGTCTCTCTTCCTGTGTCTCTCTCTGTCCTTACTGTATCTCCTGTCCCTAACACTGTATCTCTCTGTCCTAGCACTGTATCTCTTCCCTGTGTCTCTCTTTCCCTATGTATCTCTCTTTCCTAACACTGTCTCTCTATCCCTTGTATCTCTCTGTCCTAACACTGTATCTCTCTATCCCTAACACTGTATCTCTCCTTCCTAACACTGTATATACCTGCTTACTTTGTATCTTAACACCCCAACACTGTGTCTCTCTGTCCTGTGCTCACTGTATACTGTGTCCTAACATGTCTCTCTCCTAACACTGTATCTCTCTTGATACTGCACTTGTCTCTCTGTCCTGGCACTTGTGTCTCTCTCTCCTAGCACTGTATCTCTCTGTCCTAACACTGTATCTCTGTCCTGCTTACTGTGCATCTCTCAGCACCTAGCACTGTATCTAACCTGCCCATCTCTCTCTTTCTTCACTGTATCTCTCTGTCTGCTCTCTCTGTCCCTGTATGTCTCTCTGTCCCTAACACTGTCTCTCTGTCCTGTCTCTGTCCCCAACCACTCTGCCCCAACACTGTATCTCTCTGTCCTGTGCTTGTCTCTCTGTCCCTGTTCCTGCTTACTGTATCTCTCTATTCCTAACATCTCTCTGTCCTCATGTCTCTCTGTCCTGCTATCTCTCTCCTATCACTTATCTCTCTTCTAACTGTGTCTCTCTTTCCTGGCACTGTGTCTCTCTTTCCTGTACTGTCTCTCTCTCCTGCTTGCATCTCTCTATCCCTGCTAGCCTGTATCCTCCTATCCCTAACACTGCATCTCTCTGTCCTGTGACATGTATCTCTCTTGTCCCTTGCTGTATCTCTCTCTCCTAGCACTGTATCTCTCATCCTGCCTGTCTCTCTGTCTCCTCTCTGTCCCTGCTTACTGTATCTCTCTTCTAACACTGTATCTCTCTGTCCCTGCTGTCTCTCTCTCCCTAACACTGTATCTCTCTGTCCTGCTGTCTCTCTGTCCTAACCCATGTCTCTTTCCCTGCTTACCCTGTCTCTTCTGTGCCACCATCTCTCTGTCCCTAACTGTCTGTCTGTCTCTCTGTCCTTCCCCATCTCTTCCATTCTCCCCTCACTTGTCTCTCTTGTCCCTGCTTGCTGTATCTCTCTGTCCTAGCAATTTGTCTCTCTCTACCTGTACTTACATCTCTCTGTCCTAACACTGTATCTCTCTTGTCCTAGCACTGTGTCTCTTATCCTACTGTATCTCTCTGTCTGTATCTCTCTGTACAGCACTGTATCTCTCTTATCCTGCTCTCTCTTCCTGCTCCATCTCTCTTTCCCAGCACTTCTCTCTGTCCTTACTGTATCTCTCTGTCTGCTGTATCTATCACAACACTGTGTCTCTTCTTATCAGCACTGTACTCAGCATGTCTCTCTGTCCTAACACTTGTCTCTGTCCAACACTTGTCTCTCTTTCTGCTTACTGTGTCTCACTTAAACCTCTGTCCACAGCACTATCTCTCTGCTCGCTGTGTCTCTCTAACACTACATCTCTCTGTCCCTAAGCACTCTGTCTCTCCACCAGCACATTGTCTCTCTCCTGCCTGGCACTTGTCTTCTCTTCTGGCGCTTGTGTCTCTCTATCCCTAGCACTGTATCTCTCTCTCCTTACTTGTCTCTCTGTCCTAGCACTGTCTCTCTGTCCCAACACTGTATCTCTCTCCTGTCTCTCTGTCTAACACTGTATCTCTCTGTCTGCTCCAATAACCTCTGTCTCTCTAACCCTTGCTGTGTCTCTCTGTCTAACACTGTCTCTCTGTCCATAACACTTGTATCTCCTGTCCTGGCACTGTGTCTCTCTCTCCTAGCACCAGCATCTCTCTGTCCCTAGCTTGCTGTGTCTCTCTGTCCTAACACCTTATCTATATGCCTGTCTCTGTCCTGCTGTGTCTCTCTATGCAACGCAGCGTATATATCCTGCTGTGTCTCTCTGTCCTACGTATCTCTCTGTGCAACGCAGCATCTCTGTCCTGCGCTGCGTATATCTTCCTGGCACTGTGTCTCTATATCACTGTATCTCTCTCTGGCCGCAGCGTCTCTGTCCTGGCAACACTGTACCTCGTTAAACTGCGTGTCTCTTACCTATCCCCTCTCTCTCGCAACAGGTCTATCCCCAGCCCTATATCACACCACGCGTTAATACCGCCTGTATCTCTCTCCTAGCACGTCTCTCTGTCCTGGCAGCAGCGTCATCTCTGTCCTGGCACTGGATATATCTCTGGCACAATGTATATCATGCAACGCGCTCTCTGTCTAACTGCGTCTATATCTCACCTGCCTTCATACTGAACACGTATATATATCACGCATATATCTGTCCCAACGCGTCTCTCTATCCCGCAGTATCTCTCTGTCTAACAGCGTATCTCTATCCTACACTGTGTCTCTCATACTCTTACTGTCTCTCTCCTGACAACGCTGTGTCTCTCTGTCCTAACCTATCTTGTCACCAACACTTGTCTCTCCTGGCACTGTGTCTCTGTCCTGGCACTGTATCTCTCTTTTCACTAACATGTGTCTCTCTATCCTAGCACTGTATCTCTCTTTCCTGCTGCTGTGTCTCTCTTTTACTGTATCTCTCTTTCCTAACACTGTATCTCTCTATCTGCTTAGCATCTCTCTATCTCTTAACACTGCTCTCTCTATCCTAACACCTGTATCTCTCTATCCCTAACACTGTCTCTCTCTCCCTGCTGTATCTCTCTGTCCTACACTGTATCTCTCTGTTCCTAACACTGCCTATCTCTTCCTGCTACTGTAATCTCTCTATCCCTGCCTGTATCTCTCTGTCCTGCTTACTCTCTGTCCCTAACACTGTATCTCTCTGTCCCCTGTATATCTCTCTCCTAACACTGTATCTCTCCACAACACTGTATCTCTCTGTCCTGTGCTGTTATCCCAACACTGTATCTCTCTATCCCTTTCTCTCTATCCTAACACTGTCTCTCTGTATCTTGTCCTGCACTGTATCTCTCTGTCCTGCACTGTATCTCTCTGTCCTAGCACTGTATCTCTCTCCTAGCACTGTATCTCTCTGTCTCTTATATAGCACCTGTAGTCTCTCTATCCTGCACTGTATCTCTCTCCAACACTGTGTCTCTCTCTAACACTTGTCTCTGTAACTGTCTCTGTCTGCTTGCTGTATCTCTCATCCTGCTGTATCTATCAACACCTGCTCTCCCTGCACTGTATCTCTCTGTCCTGCTGTATCTCTGCCTGCAACATCTCTCTGTCCACAACATCTCTCTTCCCTACTCCCCCCCTCCTTACCTGTCCACCCTCTCCTTACCTGTCTTTTCCTATCTCTTCTAACACTGTCTCTTCTTCCTAACACATCTCTCTGTCCTGCTACTGTCTCTCTGTCCTAACACTGTATCTCTCTCTCTAACCTGTATCTCTCTTCCCTACACTGTATCTCTCTGTCCCTGCTACTGTATCTCTCTCCTGTGTCTCTCTGTCCCTGCTGTGTCTCTCTGTCTAACACTGTATCTCTCTGTCTAACACTGTCTCTGTCCTAACACTGTATCTCTCTGTCCTAACATATCTGTCTAACACCTCTCTCTATCCTAACACTGCTGTCTCTCTGTCCTAGGGTTAGGTTAGGTTTGGTTATTTCTTGCACCATATAATGTATAAAGTTTGCTACAGTGCTTTTATTTTTGTCCAACACTATATGTATGTATGTGATAATAATATATAATGTAATGATAATAATATGTATGTTGTGTGTGTGTATGTATGTGTGTCTGTGATAATAATAATAATAATATTAATAATAATAGTAATGTAATGTGTAATAATAATAATATTAATAATAATAATAATATAATGTATATATATTAATAATGATAATAATAATAACAGTGATATGTATTGATAATAAAAATATATGTATTAATATGTAATAATATGTATATGTATGTATGTATATATATGATATGTATATATGTATATATATGTATATATATATATAAAAATAAATACTTATTTTTAGTGAGAGATTAATAGTATATATTTATGTAGTCCAACAGCCGACAGCCGGATAGTGTACCTGCAGAACCTGACAGGCAGCGCTAATGGCTTTTACATCAACGCTGTTCGGGTCAACGCCTTGGAACAAACGGTGCGTCATGCTTATTGGTCGAACAATTTGTGTTTGATTTATCACACACACACACACACCTCCTGTCACTATATAACTTTTGACAACCCTCGAACCTTCACATATACCTGAAAGAATGAAATAAATAAATGAAATGAATAAATGAAATGAATAAATAAATAAAATAGACGAAAAATGTTATGACGGGTAACGTTACAAGACTGAGCTGATCATTATATCCAAGATCATACACCAATACTAAGATATGTTCACGATATACAGGACGCATATATCGTTGCTGACTACCCACCAGCACACACTGGTGACGTCTGAAGATGGTATTATGAAATGCCTCTGTGGGTGTTGATTCTAGCTTCAGAAAGAAATAAATTATCCCTCTTTGTCCTCCTCACTAACACCCATGCTTGTCCTCTCCTCCTCCTCCTCCGCCTCCTCCTCACTAACACCAATGCTTCTCCTCCTCCTCCTCCTCCTCTCACCAACACCCAGCCCTTCCTCCTCCTCTCCCTCCTCCTCTCTCTCTAACACCCAGTAATTTGTCCTCCTCCTCCTCCTCCTCACCAACACCCAGTAAGCTGTCCTCCTCCTCCTCTCCTCCTCCTCCTCCTCTCATTAACACCCAGTAGCTGTCTCTCCTCCTCCTCCCTCCTCCACTAACCCAGTAAGCTGTCCTCCTCCTCCTCCTCTCCTAACACCCAGTAAGCTGTCCTCCTTCTCCTCCTCCTCCTGCCAGTAGTTGTCCTCTCCTCCTCCTCTCCCACCCAACACCCAGTAAGTGTCCTCCTCCTCCTCCTCCTCCCTCCTCACCCTCCTCCTCCTCCTCCCTCCTCTCCTCATCCTCCTCCTCCTCCCCCAACACCCAGATAGTGTCTCCTCCCTCCTCCTCCTCCCCTCTCCACCCCTTACCCAAGTGTCCTCCTCCTCCCTCCTCCTCCTCCTCTCCAACACCCCATCGTGTCCTCCTCCCTCCTCCTCCTCACCCAACACCCAGTAAAGTGTCCTCCTCCTCCTCTCCTCTCCACCAACGCAATAAGTGTCCTCCCCTCCCCTCCTCACCCAACACCCAGTAAGTGTCCTCCTCCTCCTCCCAAAGTCCTCCCTCCTCCTCTCACCAACCCAGTAAAGTGTTCCTCCTCCTCCTCCTCTCCCACCAACACCCAGTAAAGTGTCCTCCTCCTCCTCTCCCCCAGTAAGTGTCTCCTCTCCCTCTCTCCCTCCAGTAAATGTCCTCCTCCCCTCCTCCTCCCCTGCTACCCAAAGGTGTCCTCTCCTCCTCTCCCCAACACCCAGCGTGTCCTCCTCCTCCCCTCCTCCCTGTAAAGTGTCCTCCTCCTCCTCCTCTCACCCAACACCCATGAGTGTCCTCCTCCTCTCCTCTCCCCCAACTTACCCAGTAAGTGTCCTCCCTCTCCTCCTCCTCCTCCCCCTTGTGTCCTCCTCCCTCCTCTCACCAACACCCAGTAGTGTCCTCCTCTCCTCCTCTCCTCACCCAACACCCAGTAAGGTGTCCTCCTCCTCCTCCTCCTCTCCACCCAGCAAGGTGTCCTCCTCTCCTCCTCCTCCTCACCAACACCCAGTAAGGTGTCTCTCCTCCTCCTCCTCCTCACCAACACCCAGTAAGAGTGTCCTCCTCCTCCTCTCCCACCAACACCCAGTAAGTGTCCTCCTCCTCCCTCCCTCACCCCACACCAATGGGTGTCCTCCTCCTCCTCCTCCTCTAACACCCAGTAAGAGTGTCCTCCTCCCTCTCCTCCCTCATCTCTACCCAGTAAGTGTCCTCCTCCCTCCCTCTCATCAACACCCAGTAAGTGTCCTCCTCCTCCTCCTCCTCTCCCCAACACCCAGAAGTGTCCTCCTCCTCCCTCCTCTCCTCACCAACCCAGTAAGTGTCCTCTCCCTCCTCCTCCTCACCAACACAGTAAAGTGTCCTCCTCCCCTCTCCTCCTCCTCCTCCCTCCTCTCTCCCCAACACAGTAAGGTGTCCTCCTCCTCCTCCTCCTCCTCCCCTCTCCCCAACACCCAGAAGGTGTCCTCCTCCTCCTCCTCCCCTCCTCCTCCTCCTTCCACCCAACACCCAGTAAGGTGTCTCTCCTCCTCCTCTCCACCCACTATGTGTCCTCCTCCTCCTCTCCCACTTACCCAATGAGTGTCCTCCTCCTCCTCCTCTCACCAACACCAGCAAGTGTCCTCCTCCTCCTCTCCTCCCACCAACACCCAGTAAAGTGTCCTCCTCCTCCTCCTCCTCACCAACACCCAGAAAGTGTCCTCCTCTCCTCCCCTCCCTCCTCTACTCAAGTAAGTGTCCTCCTCCTCCTCTCCTCCCCTCCCCCTACGTGTGTCCTCCCCTCCTCCTCTCCACAACACAGTAAGTGTCCTCCTCTCCCTCCTCTCCAACACCCAGAAGTGTCCTCCTCTCCTCCTCCTCTCCTCAACACCCCAGTAAGTGTCCTCCTCCTCCCTCCTCCTCCTCACCAACACCCAGTAAGTGTCCTCCTCCTCCCTCCTCCCCAGCACCCAATGGTGTCCTCCTCTCCTCCTCTCCACCCAACACCCCAGTAAGGTGTCTCCTCCTCCTCCTCTCCTCACCCAACACCCAGTAAGGTGTCCTCCTCCTCCTCTCCTCCTCACCAACACAGTAAAGTGTCCTCCTCCTCCTCCTCCTCCCACCTACCCAGTAAAGTGTCCTCCTCCCCTCCTCCTCCTCTCCTGCTTACCTTAAAGTGTCCTCCTCCTCCTCCTCCTCCCCTCACCCAACACCCAATGCGTGTCCTCCCCTCCTCCTCCTCCTCACCTTGTAAGTGTCCTCCTCCTCTCCTCCTCCCCCTTGCAGTAAAGTGTCCTCCCTCCTCCTCCTCCTCTTCACCCTGTGCTGTCCTCCTCCTCCTCCCTCTCCCACCCCTGCAGTAAAGTGTCCTCCTCCTCCTCCTCCTCTCCTGCTTACCCCATGAAGTGTCCTCCTCCTCCTCCTCCTCCTCCTCCTCCTCCTCACCCTTTGTGCTTGTCTCCTCCTCCTCCTCCTCCCACCTGCTTCCAGTAAGGTGTCCTCCTCCTCCTCCTCACTCCTTTTGATAGTGTCCTCCTCTCCTCCTCCTCTCCCACCCCAGTAAAGTGTCCTCCTCCTCCTCCTCCTCCTCCACTCCTTGTAAAGTGTCCTCCTCCTCCTCCTCCTCCTCCTCCCTCCCACCCCGTAAAATGTCCTCCTCCTCCTCCTCCTCCTCTCTCCTCAGTAGTGTCCTCCTCCTCCTCCCCTCCTCCTCTCTTGTCGTGTCCTCCTCCTCCTCCTCTCCCCCCCTTTTGTGTGTCCCCTCCTCCTCCCTCCTCCCCTTTAGTAGGCCTCCTCCCTCTCCTCCTCCTCCTCACCCCAACACCCAGTGGTGTCCTCCTCCTCCTCCTCCTCTCCTCCTGCCCCAGTAAGGTGTCCTCTCCCTCCTCCTCCTCTCCCACCCCTTTTCCAGAGTGTCCTCCTCCTCCTCCTCCTCACCTTCCAGTAAGGTGTCTCCTCCTCCTCCTCCTCCTCTCCTCTTGCAATGGTGTCCTCCTCCTCCTCCTCCTCCACTAACAGTAGAGTGTCCTCCTCCTCCTCCTCCTCCTCCCTCCAGTAAAGTGTCCTCCTCCCTCCTCCCACCCAAAAATGTCCTCCTCCTCCCCTCCTCACAACACCCAGGTGTCCTCCTCCTCCTCCCTCACCTTTAGTAAGTGTCCCTCTCCTCTCCTCCCCTAACACCCAATCGTGTCCTCCTCCTCCTCCTCCTCCTCACCCAACACCCAGTGAATGTCCTCCTCCTCCTCCTCTCACCCTTGCAATGGTGTCCTCCTCCTCCTCCTCCTCCCCTCGTCGTGTCCTCCTCCTCCTCCTCCTCCTCCTACCCAATGCTGTCCTCCTCCTCTCTCCTCCTCCACTCTTGCAATAGCTGTCCTCCTCCTCCTCCTCCTCCACCTAACACCCAGTAGGTGTCCTCCTCCTCCTCTCCTCCTCACCCAACACCCATTAAGGTGTCCTCCTCCTCCTCCTCCTCCCCTACTTCCAGTAAGTGTCCTCCTCCTCCTCCTCCTCACCACCAGCAATGCAGGTGTCCTCCTCCCTCCTCCTCCTCCTCCCTTGTCATGTCCTCCTCCTCTCCTCCTCCTCTACCCCCAGTAAAGTGTCCTCCTCCTCCTCCTCCTCCTCCTCCTGCTTACAGTAGTGTCCTCCTCCTCCTCCTCCTCCTCCTCCTCACAACACAGCAAAGTGTCCTCCTCCTCCTCCTCCTCCTCACCCAACACCCAGTAAGTGTCCTCCTCCCCTCCTCCTCCTCACCCAACACCCAGTAAGTGCCTCCTCCCTCCTCCTCCTCCTCCTCCCACCCAACACCCAGTAAGTGTCCTCCTCTCCCCTCCTCCTCCTCACACCCAGTAAGAGTGTCCTCCTCCTCCCTCCTCCTCCTCCACCCAACACCCAGTAAGGTGTCCTCCTCCCTCCTCCTCCTCCTCCTCACAACACCCAGTAAGGTGTCCTCCTCCTCCTCCTCCTCCTCTCCCCTACCCAGTAAGGTGTCCTCTCCTCCTCCTCCCCTCCTCCTCACCTAACCCCAGTAAGTGTCCTCCTCCTCCTCCTCCTCCTCCTCCCACCGCAGTAAAGTGTCCTCCTCCTCCTCCTCCTCCTCTCCCCCCAACACCGTAAAGTGTCCTCCTCCTCCTCCTCCTCCTCTCCCACCTTGTAAGTGTCCTCCTCCTCCCTCCTCCTCCTCCTCCCCACTCCCAATAAGTGTCCTCCTCTCCTCCTCTCCTCCTCCCCAACACAGTAAAGTGTCCTCTCTCCTCCTCCCTCCTCCACCTTACCCCGTAAGTGTCCTCCTCCTCCTCCTCCTCCTCTCCCCACCACCCAAGTAAGTCCCTCCTCCTCCTCCCTCCCTCCCTCCCTCCTCTCACCCAACACCCAGCCAAGTGTCCTCCTCCTCCTCCTCTCCTCCTCCCTGCAGTAGTGTCCTCCCTCCTCCTCCTCCTCACCCAACACCCAGTAAGAGTGTCCTCTCCTCCTCCTCCTCCTCCTCACCAACCCAGTAAGGTGTCCTCCCTCCTCCTCCTCCTCCTCCACCCAGCAATGCGTGCCCTCCTCCTCCTCCTCCTCCTCCTCCACCAACACCCAGTAAAGTGTCCTCCTCCTCCTCCTCCTCCTCCTCACAACAGCCAATGAGTGTCCTCCTCCTCCTCTCCTCCCAACACCCAGTAAAGTGTCCTCCTCTCCTCCCTCCCACCCAACACCCAGTGTCCTCCCCTCCTCCTCCCTCCTCCCCTCACCCAACACCCAGTAAGGCTCCTCCTCCTCCTCCTCC